TTTTTTTTAACAACCAGTCATAGAGAAAAGTCGAGCAGATCACATCCAGGAAACAATGAACCGATGATAGTCCAAACACAGTTATACACTGTTTATTAAACTCAGAGTCTCGAATTGTCAGGATAACTTCAGAACTACAGTGCGCTGCTCAGAAATGAGCAGCGCTTCACTCTTTACAATTGTTATGAAATCAAAAAATAAGATTCCATAATTGTCATATTACAATTGTTATGAAATCAAAAAATAAGATTCCATAATAATTGTATTTTTATTTCTTCTGTACCCTGATTAACACCCGCAACACCCCCAAAGTCCCTGAACCATCAAGCGCCACCAAGATATAGCCTCCTGAGGGAAGTGCCACCCTGAAACAGGCCCCTGAGGGCCAAGCGCCACTCAGAGGATGAAGAAGAAGACCAGCGCCACAGTATCTGATGATGACGAAGTGTCGGAAGACTTCCCGGGTGGAAGTCTGCAGCAGCGCCACCAAACCCTGACAAGATGACCTCTGAGAAGAAGAAGCTGCAGCTATGGCTGCAGCGCAACCCCCCTGGAACCTGTGGAGGGTCCAGCAGGGCACCAATCTCTCTCGCCTCCAGCAGACCTCGATAACCCAGACCTCTGTCAGCCCCTGCGTGTTGGCAGAGTACAGCGCAGGTCCCAGCTATGGCCTGCACTCCGAAGGTCTGGCTATGCCCGTCTCCTCCCACGCTGAGCCGTCACCACTTCCGGTTCACGCGTAGCACAGCAGCGATGTACACGGTACCAACTGCCAAAAGCCCTGAACCGATGTGCCCAATCTATCTATAGATTACAACTGCCTAGACTCGACTCAGACCGGACTGACTGACCGACCGGTACCGTTTCTGTTTCGGCCTCTCGGCCTCTACCGGACCCGGCTATAGGCTATAGGACCGTCTATCAGAATAGGCCCTTAGGGCCTATCTGTCCTCAGGGTAGCCCGGGCCTGCTATGCGCAGTTAGGGCAGCTGGCGGAGGTTGCAAAAGCACCAGTACACGATACATAGGCCCCCGGGTGTCAGAGTGGAAGCCGCACCACTTCGGAGGCCGCATAATTTTTTTATTGTTTTTCAACGACAGCCCATGCCGCGCGGCCCTAGGACTTGCCCTGCTGAGCGTCTGTCTTCTTGCGCCCGGTAGCCTGAGTAAGATGCAGCGTTTAATCTTGGGATGCT